ATACCACAGGGTAATAATGTACAATAACTTTGAAGGAAATTGCCAAACTGTAAGAACATGAGTTACAGTTGTTTCTTTACATTTTGACATATAGTTAATATTGTAAAATGTGCAATTAGTACTTTATTGTGCCTGCAACTTGCAATTTCTTAATGATTAATTATTTTGAGTTTTTCATATGCTTATTGATTATTTATATATCTTCTTTAAAAAAATGTCTATTCAAATCCTTCACAATTTTTTAAAACTGGGCTATCTTTTTTATCATTAAGGTGTAGAATTTCTTTATATATTCTGGAGCTCTGGTGGTGTAATGTGTGAATCCATCAGCTGCTAGTCTCCTTCCAAGTAATTTACAGCCTCAGAAAATCAATGGTCAGTTATGAGGATTCAGATTCATCAGCAGTGAGGTTTTTTATTATCAAAAAACCAAAACCAGTGCCATGGATTTGACTATGATTCACAGCAATCTTATAGGACACTGAAGAACAGCTCTGCAGTTTCCAAGTCTGTAATCTTTACTGAAGCAAACTGCCACCTCTCTGTCCTACGGAGTGACTGAATGGTGGGTTTGAGCGGCCAACCTTTCAGTTCACACCAGAGCATTTAATCACTGCATATCACCAATGCCTTCTTACTCGCTTGGCTTTACAAATATTTTCTTTCATGATGGAGGCTCTTTTTACTCTTTCTCATGCACAAAGCATTTTCATTTTGATGATGTCCAGTTCATTTTTTCTTTTTTGGCTTGTAATATTATAGCTAAGAAGTACTTCCTAATCCAAAGCCATGAAGATTTATGCCTATGTATTTAAAATAGTTTTCTGATGCCTTTATATTTTGTGTTACTTTTCCCCCCATGTAGTTGACTGTTCAATTCATCTGCACAGGGTTATCTAGATGTCTGAACATCATGTTAAAGACTGTACTTTAGTCCTTGTAACATGTTTTCTAACTATTTTATCCTAATCTGTGGCACTTTTATTTTCAATAGTGCTTTTTAAAAAATGAGTTTTAAGTGGGAAATGGTGTGGCACTTTCTCAAAAGTTGCAAACAAAGATACCATTTGACCCAGGAATTCCAATACTGGGAAAATACCCTAAAGAGACCATAACTGACATCCAAGCAGATATATGCACACCCATGTTTATCTAAGCTTTGTTCACAATAGCAAGGAGTTGGAAACAACCCAAATGCCCATGAACAAACAAATGGATAGAGAAGCTGTGGTATATTCATACAATGGAATACTACACTGCACTGAAAAACAAAGAACTCATGCAAATATTACTCAAAATGGATGTTCCTGGAGGACATTATGCTGAGTGAAGTATCTCAGTCACAAAAGGACAAATACTGCACGGTGCCACTGTTATAGAATGGGACTGACATCAGGGTTGGGGTAAGACTGAGAAAAACTGGATAAATTAGGTATACTGCATTGAAACAGATAAGGGAGAGAACAATTTAAAAGCAATATATGATAGGGTTTTATGGTTATCACAAGAGTCCAGAATTAAGGTTACATAGTGGAATGTACTCGGGGTGGTGGGAGGGGTGCAGGGGGATTATATACCAATGAAAAAAAATTTTCTTTTACTTTTCAAAGAGAGGAGCGAACTGGGAGGAGGGGGGAGAGGGCTGGGCAGGGAGAAAAGTGCAACAATGAATGAATGGAAATCCAAATCTCTGTAAATGTTCATTAAAATTAAAATAATTAAAACAGCATTTTTAGAGGAAGAATAAAAAAATAAGTTTTAAACTTTGCTATTTGCTATTTTCTACAGTTTTTTATTTTCCTGTATAAGAAACCATGCCTAGCCAAAATGAAAGTTTTCTTTTTTTTTTTTTTTTCTTGTATTTGTATATGCAGGCTTATATTGAGGGTTTTTTTTTCATAATTTTTTTTAAAGAAAGTTTTCTTCTAAAGTTCTATAGTTTCAGTTCTTAATTCTCTATTAAAACATATGTAACCAAAATTAAAAATAACACTAAAACCAATATAAATATATATGTCAAAATGTAGGCCTAGGAATAAACAAATGGGATGTGGTTTATAATATGCATTTCAGTAATTCTAAAAGATGAAAAGTTGTGTATTATTTTAAAACATTCTGTAAGAATTTTAAAATGAGTAACAAGAAAATACACAAGCGTTTGCAGAAAAACAAATCTGTAAAACTTAAATATAAGCTTTCATGGGAAAAAATTGTCAGATTCCGGAAGCATGAAGTTTTATACTTTATCTATTAAAAGTTAATACATTTATAATCAAGAACAGAAATAACATCATTGAAGTTCATTATGTATTAACATTAACATCCTAATCTTAAGACATTTGCTTTCCACTGCGTTCTTGGCAAAATATTTTCATGATTCTCTCCTAACGAGTATATATACTAGTGAATACACTTTTATTTGTTCTTTTTCATTAAACTTAAGTAAGAACTGTAGATGAAACAACCAAAAATAGAGACTGAAAAGAAAAAAGGGCTTGGATTAGCCAAGTCATGATTTTGTTACATATAGACTGTCACTGGCCTCCACAAAAAATTACTTACATCTGCTTAAAAAGTTGTCGATATTTTTGTTTTTTCTTAAGGCAGGAAAATCCAAATCATATACCAAAGCATCCAGTCCATCCTAAACAAACAAACAAACAAACAAACAAAAACCCAAAAAGTAAGTTAGTTTTAAGATCACTTTACTATTTTGTGAGTCAAAAATAAAATACAGGCTTTAATATCTTGTATTCATCAACAATTCTAGAAGAGAAATTTTGTTTTATTTCATACACTGGATTGTTTTACCTTTGAACTCTGCCAGGCACAATCACAGGGTTGGCTGCATTTCCCCTTGAGGGTATTTCCCTTTATTATCTTCATTTCACAATCACTTATAAAAAAAAGAAATGACCTATATTTGTGACTACAAAGTTAAATAAAAGTATTTAATAAAACATTACATTTATTATAAAACTCAGGGTAATTACAAATGGAAGTTATATCCATTTTTAATTATCAAAATTGATTAGATCTTCATAAAAGTTCTTTCTCTGAAGCACTTTCTAGGGTAACCAATAATAAGGGGATAATATGGGTTTTGGAGGATATTCCACATATTATCTCCAGAGAATCTAGGCCATGTATTATAAAATATATTGGCTTCAGGATATAGTAACAGCAAGACAGGTATTCAGATAATCCCAAGTGGCATTTGTTTTGCTTTACTTAAACTTGGGTAAAATTAATTTACAGAAGGTCAGGTATAAGAAAAGTAATAATGGAGGACACACTTACTACAACTTAACATTCATAAAAGATTGAAGGATAAATTAAAGCCAGAGAACTTTTAAGATTAAATATGTATTAAGCTGTATGGTCAATCATTCAGCTATTTTAAAACACAGAAAATATTCGTTGGGAAACAAAAATTTAGAATCAAATTTAAAAGTGCAAATAAAAATATATCACTGGATGAGGTGAAATGTGACCAAGGAAGAAGACTAAAAAAATTTCAATAATGTTGATTTCTTGAGACTTGAAGGGGACTGTCAAAAGGCAGACGTTTTGTCAGATCTGCAGAAAAGAGATTCTCACTATACAGAGCTCATTTAGAGTTTTAAGATAAATTTCTTAAGAGTCACATAAGCCATTTGAATGTTTCTGATAATTCTTTTTAAAGATAAGAATTTTTATGTGAGTAGCTGGTTTTTAAAATAATCTGAAATTTGGCCTATTCTAAAATACAAAGCAAACTAACAAATGTTTAAATTTACCACTTTCTAGAAAATAAATGTTTTAAATCTTAAAGTTTTTTATTTTTT